TGTTGAAGTGACTTTGATCCTGTAGCTGTAGTGGGCCAACTCAGCAGGGAATTTTTCAGCTCAACTTCTATGGCATTCCCTCATAGCATTTCACCCCATTCTTTTCATTCTGTATATTCAGTTATGCAGGTTGCCCTGTGCTCTTGATACAAAGACAATATAAGCTTTATATTCCTCTATATTCTATAATTCTTGCTTTTATTCATATTAGTCTGTTTATTCCCTGTCCTAAATAAAATTGTCAAATGATACTGTTTCACTTTCTGTCAGTTGTGGCCTTCTTAACTATGCATCCAATTCCTTTCTTTGGAAATCTCTTCTCAAGCCTTTTAAATCCCATTTCTGTTCCTCTAAATGTAGGTATTATCTTTCACCCTGCTCCAGAGTCCACTTAAAGCATATATACTCACTTCACAGCTTCAGAAAGATAGGTTTAAGGGAGACTTGGAGTTGTGCCAAAGGATGCTTATGTGTTTTGTTCTCTCATAACATGAAATCTAATTATTGCAATATTCTGTTTCCAGCTCTTCAGAACACTACTGCACATGCATCTGCTAGGATGAATGATTAAAGATGAAAGCAATGGACTTAGGATTCTGTTTACTTCCACAGCAAGGAAATGAGTTCTTGTAACTTCCTCTGACACACTGGTCTCTTGGCATGGCAGCATCCTGTGCAGCCCCCAGGGAAAGAAACATCTCCTTTAAAGTTAGTACTTCAGTGACCTCATAGCAAAAGCCAATTACATGTTGTAAAATAATTGTAGTAGTTTAATGGTTGCTTAAAAATGTAGTCAGCAATCCATTTGGAATTTTAAAGCTAATTTTATATCCTTTTTTCTAAGCACTCTTGTAGTTTTCACTGGTAAAACTAGTACTGTCATTTATTTGCCTTCTGTTAGACAAGCCGGAATTTATGGGGGAACCTTAGTCTCTTTTACTGGACTACGTGACGAAATTGAAAAAAAATGTAGTTGTATCTATGGTATTGTTTGTGTCTGGAGACCCTTAGTATTGTGTGGCACGTCAATCAAAATGGCCTTTATGACACAGACTAAAAACCGAATAAATACTAGGTTCTTAAGTACAATTACAAACTGGGAAACATTGCTGAAGTTGATTTGATTCTGCAGAGATTCCAAAGGACTGGAGACAAGAAATTCTCTCTGTAAAATCTTGCTAATCCAGTACATCAATATAAACTCATTCTTAATAAAGTGAGTAGGTTAAAGAAGAAAGACATAAAGTATAAAAGAGATTAATGCTAAGTGATCTCTGTACTTTGGAAAGCTTTGGAAAACTTCATGCAGGTAAATTAGGTGTATTTTGACCAAGTAGAGTAATAAATATCTAGCTACAAAGATTGTTGACCATGCAGGATACAATCCTAGAGAGCAGCAGGCATGAAGAGGGCTCAGGGAGGATGAGAAGTCTGCGAGTCAGCATTAGCATTGCTGCACATCAGGGAGACTCGACAGCACAGAGCTGAATGAAATCCTCAGCTGGTGGAAGACTGGGTACCCGGGAAGAATAGAATTGTGATGTAACATCCATTTAACACTGGCCTGACCTCTGCTGAAAAAATATCTGATGCAGCTACAGTTCATAATTCAAGGAGTAAAAAGATTTATGGGAATGGTTGAAGGGATGGAAAATATGCCTTACAGGAAGACATTCAAGGGAATGTCTATGTTAACTCTATGTCTATCATCACAATCTTAAGACTCATCTGGGAGAAAATAATAGTTCAGCATGAAAAAAAAATTCACGAAAGTTCCATTATTATAATTTTTAAAAATCATAATAAGAAAAAAGCCCAGAAGTCAATGTAGGACTGATCAGCATTTTAAAGAGAGGCAGAGATACAACTTTTTACAAATGACTGTAAGCAGTCATTGGAACATTTCCCCAATGGCTGTAAAAGATCAGTCTTGACTGTTAATTCAGCATTTGTATATTAAGGAAGAAAAGGACTACAGCCAGATGCAAGAATTAATGCCAATAAGCCCTACAGTTAACATAAAGTACTATGTTAGAAATCCCAGTGGTCCTGTCTAGTCTTAAACTTGTGTAGTTATCAACACAATGACTGGTTTTATTTAAATTGCTGCTTTTGATGGAGTTTTCTATTCTTGGTGTTTAAATTTTACTTCTTAAACCAGTCTTTCCTAAACTAATCCGTTAAAAAATGTTATTATTTTTTAACATCATATAGACAAAGCCATCAGATCTTGTCATTGTAAGGTTTACAAGCAGTGGATGTTCCCTTGTTGGCAATGTCCCTTTAGTGGCACCAGCCTGCAGAGCAGAACTGACAGGTGACAGCTGGGGCTGTCAGAATATGAAGAGCAAATGATTTAGTAACAGCCCTCACCCAGACCTGTGTTATCTGAATATGTGCAGGATCTTGCCTTGCTGGTTAGAGGGAGCCAGGAGGGCTGCTCCATTGCCTTTGTTATTGATGTTCTTCTTTCTATGGACTGGCAATAAAAAGAGGTGTGTCAACCGAGGGAAGACCTCTGGGAAAAGAAAAACCTATATACAGGAATTTAAAATAGAGAAAATGCCTTTCCTCTACTTTTGTTTTCCTTTTTTTTCTGATACCAAGGAACAGCTGTAGGTGGAAACCAGTAGGGCCTCAACTGGCTGTCAAGTAGTCACCAGTAGGTATTACTAATCCAGAAGCTCACAGGCCCCAAGTTACCTGGAAATGCTTTAATACTGGAAAGATATTGTAAGGAGAGGTGTTGCTGACTATTGATAAAAACAAACAATTTGTTTTAAAGAAATAATATATAAAGTTGTTTTTAATAACTCTCTCTTCTTAGAACACACATCTAAAAGCTGAATTCTACCAACACTAATACTAATCTCTTAATGAGACTGCAAAGCTGTTTTCCTTCTCTGCTGTGCCATTTCTTATGTTTTACCTTTCCCTCATGTTTGATATTTTTTCAACATCAGTCATCCATTTACAACACCTCTGTTGATGTAACTGGGCTTTGAGTTAGGCTTCAAGATGCCATTTCCTTTCTGTTTGAATAGGGATTTCTTTTATCCAGAGGAAGGAAATCAATAATTTGTCATGACAAACCAATGCTCATTTGGATTCATAATGATGTGGTCAGGTCTTCTGTTGTTCTCTAAAGCATTTTAAGATAATGGAAGAAGAGTCTTATTTGTGATTTTCGATGTTTTCCTTTGTTTTCCCTGATTTACTTAACATCTGTAGTCCATTTGACCATTTGCAGAAAAGATTCCAGTAAATCTATAATTTTGTTTGTTTTAAAGATGATTGTACTTTCTGTGTCCCAAGTCTTTCCCAGTGGATCATTCAGGGATCCATCAAAGGATTAACCTTTGGTATGACAAATTAACAGATACTCCTGTGGGAAAAAGCCAAACTATACTTTGCCATAAACTTGCGTAACCTGTACTGCTCCTTTCCAATCATGTTTTCGCAGATGGCAGGTTACTCACAGAACCGAGCTCCCGTTCTTTTTCGGTGCTGCTACCTCTGCAATCCCACCAGGGCCCGGAGTGCTCACAATCCTTGGCTGTCTCAGCGCAGAGAAGACCCAGGCACTTTCTTGCCAGTCATCCCCTCAAACTGCCTGGGAATTGCTCAGGGAGCCGGGACACCTGTGTGCTCCTGTTATAAATGAGAGACAAAAGTCTCGATATTCAGCAGAATTTTGGATTGCTTTATTTGATATAGAAAGAGCGAGCAGGGCGCTGGGGAACGTGAGGGGTCACCGCCCACTCCACGCTCCACCGAACCTTGGTTTGCAGCCTCTTCTTATACTGTGGGTTCTCGTTGTTCACAAATTCACAAAGCCTTTGGGTGATAATTAGTCACAGATAGCCATCCGGTCCTTGTAGATGACCACCAGGGAAGTTCTGGAGGTCTGGTCTTTGTAGATAACCCCCAGAGAAGTTCTGGGAGTCAGGTTTTTGGGATAGGCAGTATTGATTAGACAAAGGTAGGAAGGGCTTTTTGGGAAGTCCGATCTCGCAAGCTGGTAGCCGATACAACTTATTTGAAAAACATAATGTAACATAATGTAATGTAACATAATACAACATAATATAACATAACAAGGTGATTTTAAACAGAATTATTTAATCATATAATTTCCTTTATCTAGTGTCCATGCTTCACTTCAGAGCTTAGTATTCTGGTTTATGCAAATCCTAATGCTTTTGTGATTAACACGAATCTTTTATCAATTGTCACACTCTTGAACATCCTGGCAGCAGAAACGGGGAGTCAGTGCCGAGTGAGGAGCCCTGGGCCTGAGGCTTTCCCCTATCACTGCTCAACCACCTCCCTGCCCCTTTGCTTTTTGTAAAAAGAAGGACAAAGGACAGGTTGCCGATAGCCCTGTGAGCTGCTGGTGCAGGGTTCTGGTTCTGGGGGAAACTCCAGATATTTTGCGTTCACTGTGTCAAAGAGAGAAGCTGAGTGCTGGCTCCAGCGGTGAGGGTGTCTCCAAAGTCGTTCGCTCTCCCATCCCTACAGCCACCATCTCAGGGGTGTCCACCTCTCCTCGGCGACCTTCCCCCTCAGCCCCCCCGGGAGGAGCAGCGGGAGAGCTTTGGGCCGGGCTCGGCTGGAGGTAGGAGGGAGTTGGCGTGTGCAGCCGGGGGGTGCGGCTTTGTAGGGGCAGGACTGGGTGTGGAAGGTGGGAGCTAGGCGTGGGTGGGGTGCTGGCGAGGCGTGTGGAGTGCTCCAGGAGCCGCGGGGGCCGAGGCGATCCTCCCCCCATGATTGGCAGCGTGGCGCGGCCCCCCCCTCCCCCTCGGCGCCTGCTGCCCCTCGGAGCGCACATCCGCGCCGCCCGGCCGGTCCTCTCCGCGCAGCTTTCCTCTCGCCTCTGCCGCTCTCGTTTGTGTTAATTTTTTTTTCTTCCCCACCCTCCTCCCCTCCCATCTTTTGGGCGCTTCCCCTCTCGCACGCCCGCCCGGCGGGCTGTCTCCGCGGGCGCGCAGCGCGGGGCCATGCCGCCGGGGCCGCCGGTGCTCCGGGCCCCCCTCCTCCTTCTCCTCCTCCTGCACTTCCTCGGCGCCCCGACCCGCGGAGCCGTCTACACCAACCATTTCTTGGTGGAGCTGCGCGGCGGGGGCCAGGCGGAGGCCGAGCGAGTGGCTGCGGAGCACGGCTTCGGTGGGGTGCGGAAGGTAAGCCCCCCGCGCCGGGTCGGAGCGCTGCGGTGCCCTGCGGGCTGGGCTCGGAGCTTGCGGTGCCGTGCCGTGGGCATGCGGAGGCAGTGCTGCCCGCCGCTCACCTGCGGGACCCGCGTTGATTCCCGCTTCCCGAGGGGCGTTTGAGGAATAACGGCGCCAAGAGCCATTGCAAGTGCTCCTCGGCATTGGCGCAGCAGGGTGGTTGTCTTGGGCTGGAGGGAGAGCGGAGTTTCCCACATGGCAACTCGGTGCCTTTTGACTTACTATGTAAACATCCTGCGGGGCTGGGGCTGCCCCCCAGGGCTTTCTGAGCGCGGCTGGAACGGCTCGGAGCACCTGCGAGAAAATGAAAGCCTCATCTCCATGGAGAAGCATGCACACAATTTAAATAGAAGATTTCATAGAGGTTTTGACACTCAAATTTTTTTTATGCTGGTGGGCTTCTTAATATCCCTGTTATTGTCCTAGAGAAATAGGATGATCCCATGATAAGCAATGAATGCTTTTCGCTAAGGAATGTAAGCTGGGAAACTTCAAGTGCCATTGGAGGTTGTTTTTGCTCCTGAGGTTCTAGGAAATCAAACGTAGCCAGAGTGGCAGGTTCCCTCCCGGCTCCTAGAGTGTCCACCTCTGCTAGAAATCTCTCCCATTCAAATAATAATTAGACCTCTAAATAATTTAGGAGACAGTAAGACCTGGGGTGAAAACAGGGAGAGGCTGATAGAGTGCCCTGGTCAATACAGTTCCTGGTAGACTTGCTTGGAGGCGTGTGAAAGGAAAGCAGGCTGTAAATGTTCCTGCTGCTTGTTTGTTTTTTTTCTTTTCCTGGCGGTTATGCAATGACAGCCTGGTCCTGTATCCAAGGAAATGAATGATAATAGCACCCTGAACTTGGATGAATGAAATGGCTTTAAACCTCGATTTAAAAATAAAAATTAAAAAGGCGTATCAAGTGAGACTCCCTCAGATTGCCTCGTTTCAACTCCAGTGGGAGCTTGTTAGAGAAATGAGGACAAGATCATTGTTGCTGTGACCACAGCTAATTCCTGTTCTGATAAGATGCTTTTGTTTTAGGCTCACAGCCTTGTCGTGATAGTGACAGAGATGGGCTGCTGATACATTTGGGAAAGGATTAATTGTGAGGATTAGGTTTTGTTATATGAGATTTAGATACAGCTTTTTGGTCAACAGTTTTCCTCTTCTAGTCTTCCTTATTGTGCTCCCTTTCTCCTATCCTGGGGTTATCTGACTGATAAAGCCTTGTGAGGATAGGAGGGTACATTCCTGCATAGCTCAATTTCTTATGTCTTTTGCTAGATGCTTTCAAATGATCCTGTGGTCCAAGTGGGGAAGAGACGAAGAGAGAGAGAGGATTTTGTAGGATGGAGAAATGCAGCTTCTGGCCTGTAAGAATCCTCTTCTCTGTACCATGCTTCTCCCCAAGATTCCTCAGCCCCGTTAGGAGACATACAGCTTCTTCATGGAAATCAGCCTTGTAGATCATCTGAGGAGAGAGCTGGAGGGAAGTCCCTCGGATGTGCAAGAGAAAGGAGAGTACTTGCTTTCCAGGACAAGCCACGGGGGGACTGTGGACACGGATGTCTCTAGGAATGAAGCCCAGCAGAGCCATGGCGTGTTTGTGTGCGCTCATGTGGGGCAGTGAGTCCCGTACTCAGTACACAGAGTTTTCTGGGTTGTACTGCCCCAGTCCCTGAAAAGCTAGGAACCTTCCCACCCCTCCTCCCCAGCTGTAAGAGGAAATAGCACTCTGCTTTCTGCAAGGCAGTAATTTTAGGGAAGAGGAAAAGTTGGTAGGGTTTGACACTTTATTGGATGTGTTGGAGGATAGTCTGTGAGAGGTTGATAGCAATCTCTGTTCTTAACGGGGTTTGGGTGGTGATAATTGGCCACTAATAGAAGCTTGTGCCATTTATGCCAGTGGCTCTTCAGTGCTGCTGAAGAATCTCCTGTGTGTTTTGCTATCATCAGGCTTGTCTAGCAGCTCACAGTCTGCAGACTCAGCTTTCATGGCGATGCCGACAGTGCAGGAAGTTGAATGTGGCCGTATGAAGGGAAGCACGGAGCTGTTAGTGGGAAACTCTCGAGGGAAAGTACTGTGTGTAGATATTTGGATATACTGTCTAATGAAACATTAAAAAAATACCACCCCCCCCATTACATCACAAGGAGAAGTGGTCTTTTAGATACTTAAATGACACATGCTGTTTGGATGATATATTGAGTTATTTACTTAAAACAAATCCAGTTAACTTTCCCCCTATTGGATAAGAGCTGTGGACTGAAAAGAATCACCTTTATTTCAGTGCAAGGACTTTCCCAGTAAGAACACAAGAGCAGAGTCCTCTTTTTTTATTGTGTGGGAATTTAAGATGTGTATGAGAAAGATTTATTTTATGCCTGTTAGGGTATCACAGATCTCTTTTAACATGACTTTATGGGAGCTGTTTTTTAAATTATGTATTTTTAGTGCACATATCTTTTTTTCCTCAATAACAAGCAATCTCTGAGCAAGTGCATATTACATTTACTTAACAGCAGATTTCTGTAGAAGTGCATGAGAAAGCATTGCCTTTAAGATTAATGTTATGGACTGCATGATGCACTTTCTAATGGATTCTTTGGCCATGCTTCCTACCATTATTCTGAGACCACTACAAGACATCAGGTAGGCTAAATGTGGTCTTTAAATTCAGTGCTTGATGAATTGGTTAAGAAGGCTTGGTGCTTACATAAACAGATGCTTTTGTTTAGGTCTAGGATCCTAATGTGTCAAAACCAGTAGTCAGTTTTCCTTTAATCTTCCCTGAATTAATCCTGAATACAGACATCTTTGTAATGCTGATTGTGCTCTTTGATTTTTATTTTTAAAATTTGCAATTTTCAATCCATTTTTTTTGCTAAAATTGATTCTTTGTATTTTTGGTGAAACAGATGCTGTGATAAAACATTTTTTTTTCTTAAAATGGTTAGTCTTACCATCTTTGAACATTCAGGAGTTGTGAGAATGCCCCCTAATATTGTATGAACTGCAAAAAAGAACAAGTTTTTGGTTTCAATTGGTTTTTTTTTCCCCATTTGATTAATTTGCCTCTTGGCATGGCTGTCACCAGAATACATTTCTTAATGCAAGCTGAAAAAAGCTGCTTTCTGACCTTGACTTGCAATTCTCAATTAATTTCTAACAAGGAGAGTTGGAAGATGCATTTAGAAACATCTATGTGGAGATCAGAGTTTAGGCATCTCTTTCCATTTCATCAACAACAGCAAGACAATCCACGAAATGCCACCATAACTAAAAGGCTAAATATTCTGCCTCTAGTAGCATTGAGGTGAAGGGTTTTAAATAATTCACATTCAGTGGCCTCAGATTTTAAAATAAGAAAATATGGACTTGAAAACATGGAGAATTTTATGTTTATGTTGCCTAAAGCTGATCTATTTTTTTCCTTGTTGTATCACCTTATCCCTTTAAATCTTGCAAAACTCAGTCTACCTCTCACAGCTGTGACTTCTTTGCTGCCTGTTTTTTGCTTAGGAGGCTGCTGGTTGAGGACTAGGCTTTGTGAAACCAACCAGTAATTTTTTGGTGAAACACTGTGAGCATTCAGGTTTTCTTGTTTGTTTTCTTTATTCCTTTACATTGAATAAATACAGACTTATGAAAGCAAAACTTAACAGATGAAGAAGCTATATTTCTTACTGCAGCAACCCATTTTCCTGCATTTAGGCTGGGAGCCTGTGAGCTGGGAGTTGATATGACATGGAAGGCAGACCAAGAGGCAGGATAATAAGTTGCAGCCTTGGGAGTGCTTTGCTGGGATTTCTGTCAGGGATTCCGAAGATTTCATTCATTAATTTCACATACTAAAACCTTAAAATGCCCTCCTGTGCTGATCAACCTCTAAATCTGGAAAATAGGTGTTTACCTTGTTTTTTTTTTTTTTTTTTTTTTTAGTACTTTGTGTTCTGCTTTGGATGCATAAACAGCTCCAGAAGCAAACACTGACTAACTTGGAACAATAAAAAAAAAATCCTTGTTAATTAAATGTAATCAATTATGCACACGAAAGCTGTAAATTATCGAGAAGATCTGTAAACCACAGGTTCAAGCACATCTGTAACCAATTTTCTGTAAAGCTTCTTCTCTAGCAGAGACTCAGACTGTTTGTTGGTGGTGAGTGTTCTGTTTGAACTATAAATTAATTACCTTGTCAGATTTTACACTTGAGTGTAAAACAATAAGGTCAGTGTCCCCTACTGTAGATCCCGACTGTAATTGATTCATTACTGTTTTAAATATGTGGTGTAATCGTTTCTTGGCAAAACATGCAGATTAAACCTTACCTTTACAGATTTTTGTTTTGTTTCCTGAACTACAGCTCAGTAAACAGACTTACGGAATTCTGGCTGTTTATAAAGCTGCCTGCATTTATAATTCTATTTATTCCATATTGTTTGGACCCCTTTGCAAAATAAAACATGTGGTAGAGACCCAGGAACTGCATCACCAGTGCAGTTCTTTTTTTCACTTGTTTTGGTTTTTGTTTTTTTTTTTTAATGTTGCAGTCTAATGGGGAATGTACAATTATTGGTTTTCATTTACATTATATTTAGTTTTGCCAGTGTCAAGGAGAAAACATGTAAGAAGTGGACAGCATTCCCTGAGTGCTGTGATCCCAGCATATCAGGACTGAACGTGTGCTCTGTACTAGCCTATCTCTTGCCACCTAGCCCCATCAGTCAGTCTGGGGTCTCCTTCCTTCTGCCCAGTTAGCTTTCTTGAGGATGACTCTTCCGTACGGGTATGTGAATTGCCTCTGTATGTTTGACGTTTGGGATCCCATATACTGTAGCTCTGTCCGTGGTCCTACTGAAAGCTCTCATTCTTCTAGGGAGGCTTTTCAAATGCTGAAAGCCGTCTGAGCTCCCTTACTGAGAGACAATATGGGCACCTATGTTAACATGCCCAGAAT